AAAATGTTATTGTCGGAAAAGTACAACATCCCCAAGGCAACTTCTGCCCCCCGATTGCACTTGTTCATCTACAGGTTTTCGAAAGCGTGAACTACTTGGACCTTGAGGGAAGAGTAAGGCTTCCCAAATTGACTTTCCTCAAATATTTTGCACAACTGTGATGGCAAACATAGCTAAACATAACTATACGAAATGGCATAGTTTGACGTTAATGAAAAAATTAAAATTTTTATTTTAAATTCATCGCACTTTTTGTAGTTTCTTTGGACTTAGCTTATTGTCGTTTCTATGCATTCCAATTGATACACATAAATAATTAGTTCGTTTTTTTTTTGAAAAAGATGTATTTTTAATTCGCTTGCTCACAGTATCCAAAATGTAAGATTTTATAAAAATTTTTTTGGAAAACAAGAAAAATCCAAATTAGATAAAAAACCAAAAAAAAAAATACAGACCACAAACGTAAAAATGTACAAAAAAGAGAAGAAATATAGCCACATATATAAAGAAAAAAAGTGTAATCGAAAAAGTAAAAAAAAAATAAAAATTTTGGCAATAAAAGATCTATAACACTGCCCTTAAAAAATCAAAGTCTACAACTCAAACTGTATTTTTTACTTATAGTCTTGAAATAGTTTAAAAAACCTCTTATTTAGATATCAGGCTAGAAGTTTTTTTTTTTCATAGAGACTTTTGCTTCAGAAAAAAATTTAAAATTTTAATTTAGAAGTTGAATCGTGCCGAGAATTCATCAAATTTATGAATTTAGTGCCGATGTTGAAATTCAAAAAAATCGATAACGATAACTAATTTTTATGAATAAGTTCTAATAATATGTATGTTTTTAAAATTTTTTAGATTAAAAATACATTTTTTACCGAGTTTTCGCAAATTAAAACCAAATTTAGATTTCTTCAAAAATTTGTTTAAAATTTTGAAATTTTCGTGGATGTCTTTAATTTTTTTCCGCAGAACGATAACCAAAACAATCACGATTACACGGATTACATTTTTTTTAGGGGATTGAATCAAAATTTTACCTAAATCTTTAGATGGTGGTACTGCAATTGGTTAAAAGGCCAGTCTGTGTGTGTGTATATGTTTGTGTGTATGTACATATATATATATGTATGTACGTAATTGACTCACAAATTTACATATTTGTATACAGTTACCAGATTCCGCACTTAAATTTTATTTGCATGCATGCATATGTATGTAAATGTGCTATATGTATGCATATGTTTTTACTATTTTTATAGCAATTTAATAGCCACATAAAAGTTTTTATTCGATGCTTTACATTAGTTTTCCAATATTGCAGCAACCACTTTTTTGGAAATTTTTGTATGCTTTTTTGCATAAAAAGGCATAGATACATACGTACATAGTAGAGAAGCCAAATGCGTTGTCTGGTAAATGATTCATTAAGAGCCACAATTTATAAAAAGAAATCTTAAGAAATATTAAATAACAAAAAAAAAAACTAAAGATTTCGGTCCAAATGTATGCGATTTAGTGCTACTAGGAGTTTTGCCATGGCATAGAATAACAGGGAAAATTGGTTAAGCAGACAACAGATTTTGTCAGGAAACAGAAGCCTCTACAAAATTTCCAACTACGAGTACTTCAAGCAGAAATGTGCAGTAATTATTGAACTTCGTGCCATTTTTGTAGCAAAATATTTCTTCTATATAGCAAAACTATTTTTATAAATATTCGCATGCTTTTGAAAATGCATAATTCAATAACAACAAAGTAATCGAATTCGAATGAATTGCATTTACATTTGCATTACTTTTACGGGCAGTTTTTCCCCCCCCATTTAAAATTCCGAAAATAAACGAAATCGAGCATAAATAAATTTGTGTGCACTGGTATGTTCTGTTATGTTAGACATTGAAATAATTTCGAATGGAAAGTTTTTAACGCTAATTGTTTAATCGAATGAACACGCACTGCCGTTTTGGTTTGAAATTTATGCAAACGATTTTCAAAATTTTTGGAAATGGAATATTTAGTGAATTTGCTATAAATAAATACCTGTTTTAGTGTGATTTTAGGTATGTACAGATGTATACATACATATATGTATGTATGTACTAACAAGCCCATAGCAGCTAAGCAAATAGACATAAGCAGCGATATAAAGGCACGTCCTTCGCCAAAAATAAATCTGCATAAATATTTAGCGGATGTATGATGAAAATTATTTTCAAAATATTGTTGAATTGTACGCATACAGAAATAAGAAAGAATTATTAAAATAAATAGAATAAATATGAAAGACATGTAAGTTACTTGTTCGCTGAAGCTAAACTAAATGAAGAGATTCTTATTTATTATAATTAATTTCGTACAAATCAACGGTAAATGTTGAAATTCATTTGCCATAAACTAGTAATTGAAAATCGCACTTAGACATGGACTTATTATAGTTGACGAAAATTCTTAAATGTATGTACCTACTCAAATATCATTTCTTCGCGGCAAAAAGACATATTTCCGTCTTTTTCCATGTAAAATGGCTGCCAGCCTTTCTTTTCTGCTGTGTATGTGCTATACATGCATGCACATTTAAGGATATACAGTGACTAAAATAAATATACACACTGTTTTTCAAGCTAAAAATAATTTTTTTATAAAAATATTATTCGTGCTTTAATCGAAAAAGTGTAAAATAAATATTTCAAAACTTTAAAAAATTTTAGAAAAATTCAACCGATTTCCATCGAAATTTTAAACTTTTTAAATTAAAACTCTAAAACATTTTTGAGTACTTATGCAGTTTTATAGCCAATAAAATTCTGGTAAAATTAAGCTAGCGTGGATTTTTGATAATTTTTGTTAGCTGTCCCGATTTACGTGGGGTATACTGCATACGTTGCTTCCAAATCGGACCATAAATACAGATGTTCTGAATAACTCGACTCTAGCGCCATCTGGCGGATCCATTTTTCACAAAAGTATTTCTCACCAAATTTCATCAAAATCGGATGGTAAATACAGATTTTATGAAAATATTGACTCTAGCGTCACCTAGCCCCTATGTCACGTCTAAGGAATATGCTGTCAAAATTTGGTTGAAATACGTTCATTAGTTTTTGAGCCAAGTTTTACATTAGGGTGCGCCTTATTTTTCAACTTTGACCCAAAAAGCAAGACTGCCCTCGAAACTTAATTTGGTCAAAAATATGTGTCTGCAAAAAAAATTTCAAAACCCGATAATTCAAAGACGTGCCTTAAGATCCCTAGAATTACGCAAGAAAAAGGCTCTATAACTTTCAAACCCGATGAGATACGAAAATGGCGTAGCCATATTTAAGATCAGCTTGCAAAAATCCATTGATTACGCCACAGGAGCTTTAAACAAGGAAAACGAAGCACCGTTATTAATTTTTTTAGTCAGTCCTCCTTTTTATGGACTGACATGAAAAAAATGTTGGCACATTGGTATTACGAAGAAATTACCCGAGTCATAAAAAATATCAGATATTTTTTTCTTAGTTCAACTACTCTTTTTTAATGGATGCGTAAATCTGTTTCGTCTCTCTCTTTGCGAGCAACATTGAAATGCCGATTGTCTGAGTCAAATGTTTTCGGACTAATACTCGCATCTCTGCCCAGCTAGTGGTCTATACGCGTACAAATTCTTAACATAAATTAGTTGCTTAAGTCATAAACATATGTATGCCGGCTAGCATACTTCTGTGTATGTATGTAAATATATTAGGGTGCTCCTTAAAAATATCCATATCTAAATTTGGTACAAAATAAAGACATCCAAAAAAATTTAAATTTTTTGAAATAACTTTAAGGCTTTGAAATATTAAAATTTAAAAGTTTGCCTCTAAGTTTGCAAATAATTACTACGAAGAAAATCATGTACAGGGGAGAGTTAATATGGATTTCCTGAGCTCTAAACGCATTTTTTTAAATTTTTTTCTTTAGTAACAAAATATGTAAATTTTGTAAAATTTTAATATTTTCAAACCCTGCGACCGCTAATTATTATTTTAAAATTTTGAAACTTTCGTTGATGTATTTATTGTGTACGTAGAACGAAGTAAAAGGGTTATCCATATGATTACGATATTTTAAGGAGTGCCCTAATGTAGATACATATATATGTACATACATAACAATATAAGCACACGAAAATTTATTGCACTTAAATGTCAAAAAATGTATTTAAAGTTGGAATAACTAAGAGCAAATTAACATTGGGATGAACTAAAATAAAAACTGAAAGCCGCAATAAAAGTGTTTTTAATAGAAAATGAGTCTGACTAAGCAGAAAAAATATTTTTAAGCAAACACTTCCGGCAG